TTTTTTTTTCTCCAGATGAGCATCCAGTTCTTTCAAAAACCATGCCACCTCCTACTGTTCCCTCAACGACTATTGTTGCAAGCAAAAAAACGGAGAAGCCGAAGCTTGTGTTCTTCACAAACTCCCCCACTCCAGATATGGTCACGTCCACAGCTAATCCGGTGGATTTGAAGCCTCCTGCTTCGTCGGATCCAAGAGATGTTATTAAAAATGGTTGGTTTTTTCTTGTTGTTAATTCTTCATGAAAATGGAGAACTATTTTGCTGTTAAGATCCATGTAATAAACGCTTAACTGTTTATGGACTATCTTTGACTATTCAACGTAAGCTGGTCTAAAGGCTGTAAAAGACGCTTTGGACATGAAAACTTTGCTTTCATGAATTTCGAACAGCCGTTTATATTGAACAGTTACAGTAGATGCAGTATAGCATATTTTTCTCATTGATGATGTTTGTACATTTCTAAATAATTGTAGAAATCCAGCGGGCTATTGATAAGCTTGAGGGACGTGGTGAAGATGTGAAGAGTACTCCATTGACCCCTGCGAAGGTTGACAAGGAACTTGTGTAAGTAGCACATCTCGTTTTTTTAACCCTGAAAGGTATGCTGTAACAGCGCACATTCTAGGAAGCCGAAACTGTCTGTGGAGAGTGAACTGAAGCGATATCTGTTGTACGCTGCTCCAGGCTTTGGTAACCTCGTTTTGTTCACTTTTTCTACTTATGTTAGAAATTTGTTTTGTTACAGGATGTCTTCTTGGACTGGTACCTGCCATACTTTTTGTAAAGCTTTGCGGAGTACGTGTTACATTGTCCGTAACGCTGGCTATGTCTGGCATACTAACAGCTATAGTCCCAGTTCTATCACGATTTGGTGCGTTGGAGCAACGCTCACATTCAAGAAGACATCATTTTTCAAAATATACGTTTTTAGGATTTTCGGCGCTTTTTCCTTTAAGACTTTTCATGGGCATGTGTTTTGCGCCATGTCTCCCAGTCATGGGTGCAGTCTGTGCGAATTGGGGGTGTTTGAATGAGCAGTTGTTGTTCATAGCGACTGCTTTTGCCTTCATACAGGTGAATATGGAGATGAGAGGAACTTCGTCACTTCATATTATATCGACAGGAGAGAAGCACTAAATCTTGGCTTTCTGAATAGACTGAAGTTCTGTCAGAAATCTAAGAATTGGCACATATTCTTCTCTCCTGTTGATATCATATGAAGCGACGAAGTTTGTCTCTATTTATTCGTTTTAATTATTGATCCTAGATGTATTAGGTGTGCAGTTGATGATAATGAGCAAACCAATAGTAATGAAGATCTCTCGCAGTTGTATGGGAATGCTACTACTAAGTAGAGTTTCTTCTTACTGTCAGCGTTATTCTGATTTCTGACAGTCAAGAGGGTATCCAATATGAGAAAATAGATAGAAAGTTGGATAAGAAAGAATTCCTTTCATATACTTTGGAAATGAAGAAGAGGTAATCTTAAAAAGTCGATGCAAGCTTCAAACTGTGGGCTGGCAGCTAATTGAAGGAGAAACTTTTTTCAAACTCTTGGCTTGATGAGATTGTGAGACCTTTGTGGAACTCTATAAAAACACATATGATAATAACGCACAAAACGGGTGAAAAAGCACTGCTAACAATTACTTGCGGAATTGCGAATATAATGTGATTCTTGCTTCGTTCATAGTAGGTGCTCAAAAAATATAGAATTCAAGGTTTTGGTTACTATGTGTTATCTGAACGGTGTTTACTCTATTTCGTTATGTGGTTTAGTATGTACTGAATTTCTATCGTAGTCATGTCTAATCTAATCACATTGCTTGGTAATTATACTTTTTCTTCTAGATTGCCCCATTACTATCATGGCCTTTGACAATGTTGGTATTTTCGAACGAACTTCCACTAACTGCTATATACGCAATACATGGTGGTATCACGCTGCTACTTTCA